ATAAAGAAGAACCTGTAACTTCAAGAGCAGATGTCACCAAGCTAGCGGGGAAGAGTTTTCACGCAAGTTGCGTCGAATATTTGTTCACATAAAGTTGCCTTACATACAACCCCTGGAATGAATTGCACCAGGCTCAGCCTCGTGAGAATTGTTTCGCAACACTCGGCGCATCGAGATTGCGGAAAAATTGTAAGCAAAGTTTTCTTGTAGAACAGCGCCTTAGGAATCAAGACCTAGTTGTGTTTCTTCGAATTTGAGAAGAATGACGTCTTATTACTCACTTGTTGAGGGTTTTTCCACCATTTTTCCCATTCTTTTGTGTAATTTGCTGTGATTGAAAGATATCTGATACAAGAGAAACAGAAACAAGAAAGCTACAAAACTGCCCAACAAGTCGAAGAAAACCTTCGCTACATGTGGGGAAAAAACTGAATAGACCTCAGGAAACAAAGCGATATATAACACTGAGTAACACGAGTAACAAACAGCTCATTAAGGTGACCCTCAAGGTCATTATTGTATTTCTTTTTGCCCAAAACATGAAAGTTAAAAATTTCAAGATCCGACTGCACTGACAAAAAAGTTTCGCATTTGTTTTCAAGTGCTGGTGCAGTCTCGTGTTAATGTTTTACAGCGCTATGAACAGAACTTACAAACAAGAGATGGTTTTAGAGAGCGTTTTCATTATTAACGATACTTTGAAGGACAGTAGATGTTCTTGGACCCGAAAATCTCGAGTTTTTTTTTTTATTGGAGGGGGGGGGGGGCAGAAATGCGAAAAATCAAAAAAAATTACACACATCTGGAAAATATGTTTAAAAAGGAAAGATATAAGTAGGAAACTAAAAATATGACCTCACCCTATTGGTGCATCAAACCACACATAGAAGACCTTATCCGTGTATCCTTCCAAAGGAACCGGGGTGCCCCATTTTAAGTCACGCGTGATGCACCTCGGTCTGAGCCCCTCCTGGACCCATCCTCGGGTAATATGGCGAGCGTTTGACGTCCATGTACCTGGAAAGAGCACAAGAGAGAAAAAGACCAGGGAGGAGACGTTGAACAGTTACAAGATATTTTTTGATCGTTTTTAGCTCTTAAGAAGAACGATGACCCGTCCGTATCACGGTATTAGCCCTGGATCAATGTCAGTGTCTGAGTAACTGCGCACCTTACCCCTCCCGTCCACAACACTAATCCCTACCTTGTTTTCAGTTGACTGTTGTTGAGCTAGGGGAGGGGTGGGTACGCAGCTGCTCAGATACTGAGAGTAATCTTTAGCTCTCATTTGAAAACTGAGGTATTTATCTACTGTTTGGTCTAAACACATTTCCGGTAAAAAAGAAAAAAATCACCAGACATCTTTTCTAAAGACGTCCCTTTCTATCACTATAATATTGTGTGAATACGCAAGGAAAACTAATAGGAATAAAAAGTTTTCGAAAATTCTCGGTTAAGTGAATGGGAAAGCGCACGGATAGAAATTTTTCCGAGTCGTTTCTACAACAGTATGAACCATTTGCTTGTGTTCAGAACTGCACACATTTTTCCATTTTTCTGTAGGTTAAATCTCTTACCTTCCGAAGAAGATTTGTCAACCCAGCTTTTTAAAGATGGTTCAAGCTAAAAATTGAAAGAAAAAGTAAGTACTGGATAAGATGTTTAAGAGAAACTATTGGAAACTCGTAAAGTGTACATGCCAAAAAATTAAGATCAGCACGCGCATGCAAGATTTTTCATTCTGTGTCTACCTTGGCCAGGTTCAGGAATAAATGCTTGCTACTTCTCACTTTTGGCGTTCCTCCGCAAACTTTACACCGAGGTTTCTGAAAGGCAATGTCATTTAGACTGTTAGCAGTCCCTTTATTTTCTGCGCTGAAATTTTTGGCCGCTGAAATTGCCATAGCTTAGCGAAAGAAATGATGAAATTTCGACGAGGCTCTCATAGCGCATGGATTTTTGGCGTAACTTATCTTGACATTTACACAAAGGCCGCTGCATTGTGGTGTCTTTCGTCAGAGCTGCTGCTTAAACCAATGTTTGTCGACTTTAGATTTAGCAGATCGAAAATATAAGTTAGCGACAACTTAAAAACTATGGAAAATTTCATTCAGTTGAACCCGGTTTAACTAAGATGTTTTGCTGGTGTGAATAGGGAATTAGATGTGTTTCCTTACATTAATAGCCGTTGACTACGAGACAGGCTTCACAAAAACCAGGGCTATAGTCAAGATGTTGCACAGCAACAGAAGCCAACTTGAAAGATCTCATTGAGAAAGAATTCTTAAGCATAACTATACCATCAACTAAAATCAAATAAAAAAAAACTAAATTCCCAACAAATTAAAGGAGGAGTTCTCACTTTGTTTTACCTTAAGTTCGATGGCGTTTATAAGCTTTCCACAAGAATCACACTGATCCCCTCTGGCATCCTGTACATACCAACAGAATAACGTTAGATCGTCCTTTTACGATCTCATAAACTGTTTAACAACGATGGAAATTTCAAAAAAAATTAGCAACACTCCCCACAAACACAAGGGCAAAAGACAAAGACAAATAACAACAGACAAAGAGCACTTAACGTTTGTGGAAACTGCCGGATAGCGAGAGTAGTTAAGAAATTAATAGGGAATTTTTGGGAGAGGTTTCCATAACTTCCATAACTAAAAAAGTGCCAGCAAAGTGGTTGACTCAGTTTAGGAATTGACCCAACTGGCCGACAGGTCTAATCAGTAACAGAATTCTCTCTAATAATGGAACGGTCCAGCCAATCAGCTTTGAATAACAGTAATAAGCGTATTAAATTGTTTAGAAACGATCTCCTGTACTCAAACGATTAATCTCAAAGTAAGAGTTACCTCAAAGTTACAGAAAGGACAGGTGCCTTCGACGAAACGATCAGCTAAAAATCTAGAATGAGAATAAGAAAATAGGACAAAAAAATGGTCATCAACGACAATTTTGCCAAAAAGTTGCAGCACCGCTAAAAAAAATGATAGTTGAAAGACTCGTCATCAGTTGAGTATCACCAAAAAGGAGTTGGGAGGTCTTCCCAATGTGTGAATGAAAGAAAAAAAAATAATCGGAGGTCGTTTGCTTTCGCTCTAACGCCTCTACTTTAAGTCTGGCACAATAGCTTTTTCGCGGTCAAAAATGTAAGTGCTAGGCAAACCTTTTACAGTCCACGCATTGCAGCTGTTCTAGTGTGTCCTCCACTAAGTGATCTTGCTTGTGAAGACGCCAGAAAATATCCTGAGCGATTCTAGTAACAATAGAACAAGAAAAATACCGTTAACGAGGTGGGAGAAACGTGGAAGCCAAATGTTTAGCAGGTTGGACACCAGTAGGATAGGTTCGGAATACAGCCCCAGTGAAGGTGATTGTGTTGTGTTCTCCGTTACTCCCCAGATCTGAATTGTAATTCTCCCTTTTAACTTCTTCAGATTTCCTTTTCAAAAAAGTTACGGGAATTTGGTGCCAGATCAAGACAACAACTTTAATCTGACCAGTTTGTCTATTTTCATTACTTTTTTACTGAATAAGTATTGAAATTTTAAGGAGAATCTACATCCTCGATCAGACAATTGAAGGATCAAATCTAACAGTGCCTCCCTCTCTCTACCATTGTAATGGAAGACAGAAAACTTTCAGGGAGACTTGAAGAATTCCAGGCCAGAAGGGGCTGCATCCCTAGAAGAATCCAATCCCATCGGTGAGAAGAGGCCGGACCGTTTTAGTCGCTTTATGGAAAAAAAAAACTCTGCTGGGAAAAGCTTGAGTGGCCATGCAAGTCTTTCTACCGTGTTTACTATCCCAACCCTTGAAGTCGTGACAAGAGAATACAGAGAGCAATGAAAAGACCGACAAAATTCTTGGAATTCGAAAAACAAGAGAAGCAAACAGCTAAAATGTTGCATTAGGATCTTACTCAGTCTGCTGTTGAGTAGTTGTTCTTCCAAAGAAATCAAACTTGATCTGAAACCACTCGTAGACTTCTTTGTGAATCTTGAAGTACTTATCACAGATCTGCTGAGGTGTAAGACCTTCTTCTAGCGCCTGGAATTAATGATAAAGGAGTCAACTTGACATTTGATATAATCAAGAAAAAGGTTACATCGGAAATCATAAAGACGTTTAGTGTGCAAACCTGTGATTTTAGAAGAATGATGGGGTGGCTGAGGGCTCTTGAAGGATATTGCTAGGTGCCCGAATTTCAAAGGCTTTCATAAAGCAAAGTTTCACAAGGACAAAGGTTTGGCCGCCTTTGATGGAGCACAGCCCTGGAGATTGTGGTCTTGCAAGAAAACAAAGGCCAGCAAAGGGTCTACAAATCATTCTTGAGTTTCTCAGGTTTTTTTTTTAATTATTCGCGTGTATAACCTGGTTATTGCCATTTGCCGTAAAAATGTAAACCGTAATGCCCCTTTTTCTAACATATGTGTTTTCTTTATCAACTGCTACGTCATTTTAGTTAGAGGTAACTATTGAAAGCGCCCAAAAGCATTTTCAGAATTAAAATTTTATGCCTCCCTTTTCAGTTATAAGAATGGATGTAGCGAAATTCATATTCGTTTAACCGTACGAAGAAATCCGGGAATGCAATAATTTTGCTTGGTTTTCTTTGAGTGGACAGGAAAACATGGGTCACCCTCTCAACCATTGTACAGATTAAAAAAAAAAAACGATAAAAAATTGCTACTTGTTCACGCGTGTTTTCCTCGTTTCAAGCAGTTTGCTTGTTTTTAGTTTAGCCCTTTAACTCCCAGAAGTAATTAGCATGCAACTTCTCCTTTTAATATCCACAGATTATCCAGCAAACAGGTAATGGAGAATACTCAAACTCATCAGGTAGAAGTTGTTACCTTGATTGAACACCAAATTCTCGTAACCGATTTACAAGGAAATGTGTAGCAGCCAGAGGGGAGAATTAACAAGCACATCTTGGCAGTTAAAGAGTTGGTCGTTGTGATGATTTTGGTTTCGGTTTTACGATACTCAATCCAAAGGAGCTCTTATGCCAGAAAGCTAAACAGCCTATAAGATAATTCGGTTTCATCAACTGAGTTGATTAAGTAAACTGGCCACCGTACAGTTTCTAAAGCTAACGTTTCGAGCGTTAGCCCTTCGTCAGAGCAGCCATTTACCTTAGTTTCTGTGGCTGTGCCGTACTCATCCGTTCCACAGATGTAAAGCGTGTTGTGCTGACGAAGGCGGCAGTACCTAGGATACAATGTAGACGAAACAGAGAGTAATGGTAAAAAAGATTTCTTCATCAATCAAGCTTATCTTTATGGAAAGACTAGGTATCATGTTTGTATAAATTGTGTCCCAAAAATATTTAAGCTCTCCAAATAATATTCCTATTTACTTCAGCTCTTTTGAAATTACTGATCGGATCCTTTCAATGTGACAGATCAAATTGCTCATCTGAGAGATAACCACTCATTACCAGTCCCCTGACCCGTGTCGAAGTCTTGACTTTGGTACTTGGGGAATTCATCAGACACAATTAGTATAATACCAATATTCACAGATTAAATCGTCTGGAAGCTCTCACGCTGCAAAGGTTTCAAATCTAATATTTCTGACTAAAGATTTCTAATTTCTAACTAAGAAAAAACGCTCACACGCATGTACACTGTATTTCAAAAGCAACGTGTGGCGAAATATGCTTCGAGGGTAACAAAATTTTATTTAGGGGTAAGATAGGTAGGAATCATCGCAATATGAGTAAATATAAGGCACTGAATTTCAATGATGGTAGCTCGCATCGTAAGTGAGGGCTGAGAAAGTTCTCAACGACAGACCACCCTTTATGGCTCGCTTTACTCGTTAATTTACCTGGCAAATACGTCAGCACTGAGGACACAACCAATGATGTTCCCCAAATGAGGCACATTATTCACATAGGGCAAGGCGCTGGTGATAAGAATATTCTTTTCTCCTTCAATGGGCAAACTATAAAAGAAAGTTAGTCGTTTCATTTCGGAAACATTTGGCAAAAGCTGAAAAATGCGGGCAACACTGCAGTCTCCTTTGCACCACCCTTCAAAATGTCATGTAATGCTGGAAAGCGTCGCGTGACATTTTATGGAAAGGCTGTAAGAGATCGCGCGACGTTAGGCTCATTTACCAAAATTGTTCTTACATTGGGTCCATAAGCCGGCGACGTTTCGGCCGGTTTTTGCTTCCTTGATTCCAGTTTTTTACTGCTTCAGCAATTTCCTCACTTGAAGCAACTCTGACTTGACCTACCTGAAACAAATTTAGACCAACGTTTATGTCGCAAGTTATTTGATTTCGTTACTTCAAACTAGACAGTTACAAGAGAGGGTGCGGGTTTTTTTTTAAATAAAAATCTATAAACCGCAAATTGAAAGTCCCGCTAAATTAGCAACCAGCAGTATACCTCATCTTGTGAAATACCATTCCCTTTTTCTTGCTGAGGTGGCTGTGATCCTAAAAAATCAAAGCAACACACAAACACAGACATTTAGCGCGCAATGCACAACAATCGCAGTAAACAGAGAATCACGGGAAGTGTAAAGAATGTTAAATAAGCTAAACACAAATCATAGAGATTGCGATATCTTCGCTTTCTAACCCCTACACGGGGCAGAGCGACTCAAAACAAGTCTATTGACCAATTAACTCGGCAGGACGACCTCAACTTTTCAACATTCTACCCTACGTTTAACTTCAAAAGGCTACAAAACATTAATTAGTTCAGTGAAAGAGGAGAACCAAAACCAGACAATGGAAAAGATCATAAGTATTGGCAAATGATAAACTTAACACAGTTAGGATGAATAGCCCAAAGCGTGACGTGACCTCCGGGGCCCAGTTGTATAAAGAGCGGATGACGCTATTCAACGGATAAATAGCTAACCAGTGGGATAAACGATATTAAAAGGCGGGTTTAGCGCTATCCACCGGATATAGATCTATCTCGTGGATACTGTTATCCAAACTTTGAACAACCGGGGCCAGTTGGACAAAATAACAGTATTCAAAGTGAACACTTTTTTTTTTTTGTACCACTGCTGTAAGTTCCTTTTTTCTCATCTTTTCCATTACTGCCTTTCAAATTTAGTTTTGTTATCATTTTGGTGAATGATAAGTCCCACAATGAATTGAGGTTGATACCTTTTACGCTCTGTTTCGATTTAGTTCCTTCCTGTGGTTTAGAACTTGGTGGCACCTGTGTTCCAGACATGGCCAGCAAAGAGTCCTACAACAAGAAGAACAACAATTTCCACCTAAAATAAGCAATGGCCCTTTTTGTGAAGGGCAGAGACCTTGTCTAGAAGCCCAGTGATCATGATCCACACCGTTGTAGTGCATCCCAATTTCAATGGCATGAAGCAAAGATGAGTGTTTCCATTCCCTTCCCTCCTCATTACCAAGAGAGGCTTAACCCTTAAACTCCCATGAGTGATCAAGACAGAATTTCTCCTTACAATGTCAAAACAATACCAAGCAGACAAGTTATGAGAATAAAGCAAAATAGTAATTTGGGGGATTATTAGTTGATCCAAAACGAAATTCTCCGGACTAAGATGGTAAGATTTGTATGACGAACAGTAAGGAGGATTTCTGATGAAATTTTTAAGTAAAGTAAAGTAAAGTAAAGTAAAGTAAAGTAAAGTAAAGTAAAGTTTACTGACAGTGTTTTCACAGAGTGGCTCTTCATGTATCACTAACTTATTAAATGCATTATAGCATCAACTTAAACCTATTTAATATTTACAATCATAAATTTAAAATAGCTAAACATTCCAGTCTGTATACACTTAGACTTAAACTAATTTAAAATTACTAAAGGCGTGCCTTCGCCCGGTTTTTTTAGTATTTAAATAAACGCGATGAAAAAATATGCAAATCATCACAGGTTTTCAGTTCCTTTGGTAGATTATTAAATAAAACGGCCGAGGTGTCTTGAAAGGTCCCCTTTTCTAAAAGAACCTGTAGTCTAATACAGTCTGATGAGCGCAGCTCTCTGCGTATAGGGACTCGTTGTAAGTTCAGATATGCTGGCCACTGTTTAAAATAAAGTGCTTTAAAGGTCAACTTTAGCAAATTAAAATCCCTTCTTTCTTCCACAAAAAAATCCCTCAATGATTGACCGCTATTTCTTGAAGCAACAGGCTTCACTGTGTCTCACTCGTTTAGGAGGAAGGGGTAAATTCTGGAACATTTCCATGTTACTCTCAGAATTTTGACCCATGAAAATTATGTTTTTGTTGAAAATCTACCCTAGTTTGTATATCTAACTTTTGTCTTTCTGTTACCTTAAAAGCAGATGCTCCTTTGTCTCCTGTCACCTCAGAAGCACTTTTATGGAAAACATCCTGTGACATGAGCTGACCATACCATTTTCTGATATTGTTTATCTGAGGATCTGCAACATCAAATAGATGACGAAAACAAGTAATGTTAACTATCTTTGATACTTAATGTGAACTTGAAACTATTACACTCTCCTGGCAAACAGAATTATCCACAACAAACAAATGCACAATAAAAGTTGACAGAACCAGAGAAGCTTGAATCAGCAATGAACAAGGGATGAAGTGAACCCCAAAGGATGACATCTGCTAAACCAAGTTGATCCTGAAACGCAAATGAATGACAGTCAAATGTCAAGCAAGTTTATCCTTTGCATTGCCTCTCTTATCATTATCCAACTCTAACTCACTCTGACAATATTTTTCTGTAGCCTTCAATTGTAAATTAGCTTTGCATGGCACAGCGCAAAGACTTCCTTTAGAAGGCTTTTAATTCTCAGACTTCTAAGTATACAATAAGCTGAATAACACAAATTTAACTAAGAAATTCTCTGAGAAGCTTCAGCAAACTACACTTAACATGTTCACCCAAAAGCCTTGAAGTTCTCTTCTGCACGAACTTCGTGCTCATCTAAACTATCTCATACAAAAAAAGGATAATTAACATGCAACATTAATATTCTAGAATACACTATATTTCTAATAGTCACAAATTTCTCAATAGAACATGCACCAATGTGGTGCCCTTCAAAAGTAAATGCTATGCATACTATGATAACACCATATAGACACGACAGCACAGGAATTGCTCAAACACAATGACAAAGCTCCTTTTTAGTTGAATTATTCTTACATGAACCCACCCCAGAAAAAAACTTGTATGCAGACAAGGCTTGATCAGCATGTGTCAGTAAATTCATCAGATCATCAACATGGCTGCTCTTTTGCCTACCCAGGCCAATAGATGATACAAGATGACGGAACAGAACAGGCTGCAATAAAATGGCAGAATGCTGATGAACAATTTATAGTCAACAAAATATCAACAATAATTATATATAATTAAAAGGGCAAAAGTTACCTAGTTATTAAAATTTATCCTAATTGTAGGTTTCATTGCTGACCAAACCATTATGGAAGGTTACACGCAGTTTGCTCTAATTCATATCAATTGAAATCTCTTTTCCAAAGGAGTGCACCATGATCTGCCCTATCAAAAAAATTGTTAGAAATTGTTCAAGTTGATCATATGCAATTCATGGTCACCTTCTCCATCTTTTGTTCTTTTTTGTTTATTTGGAATGTCCCTTGACCTTTACCCTTCAAAACATTAACCTCAATTACTGGGGAACTTTCACTGCTCAGTACTCCAAACTAAAACACTTTTTTCAAGTTGCCATTTGGAAACCTAAAATTAGAAAATGGTCATCAGAAATAGCATTTCAGTCACCAGAAAGTGAAAGCTTAAGGATAGGATAGAATCAAAGTGATATCCTAGTGAACTCACAGATATACTGTACAGAATATAATTAGAATTTGCAATACTTGAACTAGAAGCCAATGATCCAACATAAAGGATTGAGCCAAGCAAATCTAACCTGCAATGATCTACTCTCCCACTCCACCCACTGATCAACAATTGCTTCCCTGTTGGGATCAGGTGTTTCTTCCAAGTTGCTCTTGAGGTCCAACAGATACCTATACAGGAAAGGTTACCATGATAGCATCACAGATTATACAAATCAAAATATCTGATTGTGTGGTCTGACTGGTGACTGACACTTCTCTAACCTTAGTCATCATTAACATCGAGTGAAGAGTTGTTGTCAATGGCAAGTCTGGCTTCTGTACACTGATTGGTCAGTTTTGGTGTGATTTTATTGGCTGTAAGAAAGTATCAAGTGTTGTGATTGATCATTTAGATCCATCAATAATCTAAGGTTGTTCTGTTTGGTTTGTTTTTTTGTGCAAATCTTGTGAATAAGTTGTTTGTACCGTGCTGTATTTGTTGGCATCCTTTGATGGGAGCCTGTTCTCTGTCTATTGTTCCAGCTTTGCAAAATCAGTTCAACTTGTTGAAAACAGTTAGTACTGTAGGTTTGCTGAACACAAATAATGAACAGGAAATGACGATGCTGACAATCAGTTTGCTGAGCATTATTGACTGACAATCAGTTTGCTGAGCATTATTGACTGACAATCAGTTTGCTGAGCATTATTGACTTACAAATCATACTCTTGGGACTCTGCAGAATGCCTTACCTGGAGCGCCAATTATTTTTTTACCATGCTTGGCGAACTTATGTTGGGAGGTCAAGAATCCAAGTCCCCAACAGGAACAACACTCAGGGTTTTAAAAAAACTAACTAAAGCCAGAAAATGTGTCCTCCCTAGCACACTCTCTACTCAAAAGGTTTGACATCAGATTTTGGTAGCCTGATACCCAGAGATCACTGCTATGTAGTGGTAGCCACAAATTGTGCAGTTAATGACTTGTTATTAGTGGCAGTGAAGTGCTTTTGGAAGAACCAATTATGTACACATGTCTTCAGGAACTTTTCAGCAATACAGCCCAAACTAATCAACCAAATAAAACTTGGAAGGGGTGATGTAACACAGGCAGTTACTTATTGTGGGATAATTTCAGTTGCTTAACCATTACCATGGCAATAGTTGTTAGGGAAACCAAGAAAAAACATGATTTTGCAAATATAGTAAAAAACACAGAAAGGAACATACAGCAGAAGTTCTTTGCTTGAAAAATGCCTCACCATTTATCTTCTTTTTTTTTTTTAACAAAGGCAAAAGAAATCCAGTGGAGATACCCAGGAGAGTTTCAGAATGTTATGATTGTTTGAAGGACTCAATATTGCCATCAACTTTCTAGCTGGTCTTTACCACTCTCAAGAAAGTGGTAAAAAGGATAATTATGTTCTCCAAACCCAGTTTCTATGGCTTTTATTGTACAATCTTGCTACTTAAAGGAAAGTCATTCCCCTGCAGAGTTAGAGCATTTTAATGTTGCCCTTAAAAGCTTTAGAGGTTGCAGAGGAAAGCATTCTGTGCCCAGAAAGTAATCAACAAAAGTATCTGCACATACAAGATGACATCTACCACTAAGGGGAGGAAAGATCCACATCTTCTGCTTTGTGATACATTGAGAGACCTTTGTCTCCTGTTCAGCAGATTTAAGAAATAGACTCCAATACCACAGTTCAAGTTTCGGGGACAGCCGCATTAACACGGTGCTGCTTTTTTCCAGTGAAGGATACTGGGAGGCAATTCTCAAGGCAACAGCTGACAGAGGTAAATCCTCACTTTTACTCTACAGATTCAACAAATTACTCCTGGTGAACAAGTTTGTGTATCAAATCAGGAAGTCAAGTAGTTCTGATAAAAACTCCCAATTGCAAGAAGTTTGTTGTTCCATTTTGGAATTGATTAGCTCTGATAAGAGCTTCCAATCGCTAGAAGTTTCTGTGTCGACTCAATTTGAGTCAATGAGCTCTGATAGGGGTATCGAATGCAAGAAGTTTGGTGGTCAATCATGGAGTTAAAGAGCTCTGATAAGAGCTCCCAATCATATACAATTTTTTTGGTTGATTAAGGAGTCAATGAGCTCTGATAAGAGCTCCAGATCACAAAAAGTTTCTTGGTCAATTAGAGAGTCAATGAGTTCTGATCAGAGCTTCTAGTCGCAAGAAGTATGTGCGTAAATTTGAGTCAATGAGCTCTGATAAGAAGTTTGCTTGTCAATCGGAGAGTCAGTGAGCTCTGATAACAGCTCCCGATCACAAGAAATTTGTTGGTCGATCTGGGATTCAATGAGCACTGACAAGAGCTCCAGATCACAAGAAGTTTCTCGGTCAATTAGAGAGTCAATGAGTTCTGATCAGAGCTTCTAATTGCAAGACGTTTGTGTGTCAGTTTGAGTCAATGAGCTCTGATAAGAAGTTTGTTTGTCAATTGGGGAGTCAGTGAGCTCTGATAAGTATTCCTGATCACAAGAAATTTGTTGGTTGATCTGGGATTCAATAAGCTCTGATAAGAGCTCCAGATCACAAGAAGTTTCTTGGTCAATTAGGGAGTCAATGAGTTCTGATCAAAGCTTCTAATTGCAAGATGTTTGTGAGCTCCGATAAGAAGTTTGCTTGTCAATCTGGGAGTCAGTGAACTTTGATAAGGGCTCCCGATCACAAGAAATTTTTTGGTCGATCTGGGATTCAATGAGCTCTGATAAGAGCTCCAGATCACAAGAAGTTTCTTGGTCAATTAGGGAGTCAATGAGTTCTGATCAAAGCTTCTAATCACAAGACATTTGTGAGTCAATGAGATCTGATAAGATGTTTGCTTCTCAATCAGGGAGTCAGTGAGTTCTGATAAGAGCTCCTGATCACAAGAAATTTTTTGGTCGATCTGGGATTCAATGAGCTCTGATAAGAGCTCCAGATCACAAGAAGTTTCTTGGTCAATTAGGGAGTTAATGAGTTCTGATCAAAGCTTCTAATTGCAAGATGTTTGTGAGTCAATGAGCTCTGATAAGAAGTTTGCTTGTCAATCTGGGGGTCATTGAACTTTGATAAGAGCTCCTGATCACATGAAATTTGTTGGTTGACCTGGTATTCAATGAGCTCTGATAAGAGCTCCAGATCACAGGAAGTTTGTGGGTCAATTTGGGAGTCAATGAGCTCTGATCAGAGCTTTTAATTGCAAGAAGTTTGTGTGTCAGTTTGAGTCGATGAGCTCTGATAAGAAGTTTGTCTGTCAATCAGGGAGTCAGTGAGCTCCGATAGGAGCTCCCAATCACAAGAAATTTGTCGGTCAATCTGGGATCTAGTGAGCCCTGACAAGATCTCCAGATCACAAAAGGTTTGTTGGTCAATTAGGGAGTCAATGAGCACTGTTCAGAGCTTCTAATCACAAGACGTTTGTGAGTCAATGAGCTCTGATAAGAAGTCTACTTCATCTTGGTAATCAAGGAGTTGGTGAGCTCTGACAAGAAGTTTGTTTGTCAATTGGGGAGTAAGTGAGCTCTGATAAGAGCTTCCGATTACAAGAAATTTGTTGATTGATCTGGTATTCAATGAGCTCTGATAAGAGCTCCAGATCACAAGAAGTTTGTAAGTCAATTCAGGAGTCAATGAGCTCTGATCAGCACTTCCAACTGCAAGAAGTTTGTGTGTCAATTTGAGTCAATGAGCTCTGATAAGAAGTTTCTTTGTCAATTGGGGAGTCAGGATGCTTTTAAGATAGTTGGGATGTAGTATCAATGACAAGGTGTGGAGAGCATCCCATCCACCATCTGCCAGTGAAGTTACACAATGAGGAAGCAGATACATGTCTCTCAAGGACTGCCCTGATGATTACGATCCGGTATGAATGGTCTCTTTTATCCCAAAGTGATAAGAAATAATAGTTTGTATGACATTTCTAATTATTTTTCACTATTTCTTAAATAGTGCTTTACTGCGAGGATCGTGCACATAATACGTAAACCATATTTATGTTGATTTCCTTAGCAATCATTACCATGTTAATGGCTAAACCAAAAGTAATTATCCCACATAGAGTAATTGCAAAAGTTACTCCCCCCCTCCCTCCCTACAACGAAATTCAATATTTGGTTGAGCAGTTCCAAAGATACTGCTAAAAAACATTCCTGAATGCATGCATACATTTCTTGGTGCTTACAAAAACACCCCCAACCCCCTTTAAAAAAACAGTGCATAGCAAGTCACTGACCCCACAATTTGTGACAATGCGTGACATAGCCATGATCTCTTGATATCTGCCTTTCATAATCCAATGCCAAACCTGTTATGTACTGAGGGAGCTAAGTAGTGCCTTTTTTATGCCGCTGTTAAAAATCTCCTCAACTAATTATGCTGCCTTTGCCATGAAATCTGCAAATGGTTAAGACATTCTAGACAATAAACTATAGGCCTTGTCTCTAGCATCTTCTCTGTACTGGTTGATAGGGGACATTAAATCAAAGAACCCACGCACTTCTCATAGTGAATGAGCAATGTACACCGTAGCTCCAGGCATAATTGTGGTCTAGCCTTGTTATTCTTCATAAAGGGCCCTGTTCAATCCAGCTTTAAGCTGAACTGGGCCAGCTCGTCTAAATATCACAAATACATTCAAACATGCATAATGTCATAATCCAAACACTACCTCAAAATAAACACGGAGCTAGAAATCATAACAGGTGAATAATTTTGTGGAGAGTGCTCCTTTCTCTTGTACGTGTACTGGTAAGTCGTCTCTGTAAGAGTTCCTTGGTACACAGTTACAAGTAAACCACAGTCCCATTGAACATCTTCCACAGTTGAAAAGTTCAACACATATTAAACAAGATTACTGCTTCAAACTTCAAATTTGATCACAACTGACTACCCAGATGCCATATCCTCCATGCAATCAATTAATTAATATGTCATTTCAAAAATCAATGTATTTGGGTCATTTAACAATTATTCGCCAAAGGCGAGGTGAATATCATCAAATAATCCCCAAGACGAAGTCGAGGGGATTATTTGACAATATTCACCGAACCTGAGGCGAATAATTGTTTTAGTATAATTTCAGAGCTGAACAACAGAGAAATTTCTAAAATCATAACATTTTAGTAACATTTATTAACATTTTAGTTTAACATTTTATATAAACTGCAAAGAGCAGTTTATATAGCATCATATAAGGAACTGCTCAACCAATCAGATTGCTGGATACTCTTTGTTCAGCTCTGAAATTATACTAGAAAGTGTTAGTGAATTAAAATAGATATTGACATCATGATAAGATATTTTTTGATACACAAATGCTGCATTTCTATGATAAATCTAAGTTTGTATACAGTACCTGCATATACTGTTTGGACTGTATAATAAAACTCCATGTTCAGCTTCAAGAACTGGAAGCTATGAAAAAATTCAGAGAATTAGCCTTTGGATGCATCAAAACCAGTTGTTAGACACATGAATCTACCTAATCATTCTAAGCAGCATATGACAATCTGCGGTCTTTCCTTACATTTAGGTAGCTCAGAAAGCCGCAAAACTCTTTAACAAAAATTTTATCTCCCAAATCAGCACTCTTAACATCATAGTTATCAACGAACACTTTTCATTCTACTAACTTATTCTTGTTTTCTCATCAACATGTTTCCACCAATAACATAGCTCCACTTTCTTTAAACACATACACAACCCACAATTCCTCTATTTGCTCTGACGAAAGGGCTACTGCTTGAAACATCAGCTTTTTAAACTCTTTAGGTGGCCAATTTACATTTTCAACCTAGTTGATATAACCAAATTAGCATGATATTACCCCCGCCAATGCAGCACCACAGTTTCTTTAAAAACTTATCCCTTAATTTGTTATCCTTTGGTTAGCTTGATTTACAGTTATTGAATTTGACTAACTGATCACATCATCAAGCCCCCAAAACATTTATTAATTATTTTTCCTCTTAGCCCTTTAACTCCAAGAATGACCAGGACAGAATTTCTCCTTAGAAAAATATCAAGAAAATATCAAGCAGACAGGTAACGAGAATAAAGAAAAAGAGGAAATCAGGAGATTATCAGTTGATCCAAAACCAAATTCTCCAAACTAATGTCATAAGAATTGTATGACAGAAATTAAGGAGAATTATTAATGACATATAGTGATTGAGAGGGTTAAGATATCAAATACTTAGCAATTATTCCACGAGTGTGCATTGGATATGAGATGATAGATAGCCAACGAGGCACGTAGCGCCGAGTTTAGCTATACTCATCTCATATCCAACAAGCGTGAGTGGAATAATAATTGTTTTATTAAAAACTTTAAACTAAATTAAAATCTTGTTAAATTTTTTAGCTCCCTTTTAATTTTAGACTGACACACGCTGCTTAACATATTTATATATTATGGTATATTGGCTCATATGCTAATAAAAAGTCTTGAATTGCATTATCCAATAATCCAGTTTTTAATACTCCTGGTTAGTTCATGATATGGAAAGTGGGATAGGTTTTGAGAGCAATGGGCTCACTCTTAACAAAGCTATTTCCTGTGTAAAAAAAAATATTTTGAACAAACCTTCCTATCTCCTGGACAATTTAATTTGCTTCCATCTGATAAAGAAAGGTGAAAATTTATTATACTCATAACCCATTAGTCTATTATCAATCACTTTGTTATACTTCCTTCGCTGCATCAATTATGAGTGTATGAAATTTATTTGTTACGTCTTCATCTGCTGAACAGTTAGGGACATTACCTTTTTTTCATTTACAATACACAACTCGATTATCTCGTTGCTAACCTAGTTTTACGGAATTCAACTGAAATCCTAGTTCCACACTAAGAATCCCAAAGTCTAACGAACTTCTTATTCCATCAGAAAGGAATTTAATTACGAGGAAATATAAAGGTGATAGAAAAAGAAGCACAATCGCCTATCGATAATGAATAGCAACTGTCGGTTGAGAACTTTTGATTTGAAATTGTAGTCGGTTCAGAAGACAGATCTAGAGCTAAGAGACAATAGGATTGGGCGAACACCAGAAACCTAAACCAGTTCCGGTTTCCCTTTCATATCATTAGAGGAAGAAAGTTATCTGACCTTCATGACTGATGTATTGAACAGTGAGTGGAACGCCTGCCAGATTTTTTGCAGCCAAAATGCTGAGTAGAAATGGATTTCCTCGGTCGGTGTAAAGCTTCATAATTTCGCTAATTTGAGATGATAGGGATCTACGACAATGTAAAAGTCGTGTAAGTATTACAGATCGGAGGAGGGCGCCAGAGCTGAACCCAGAACAGGTTCTAAACATTTGACGAAATTAGTTCACGTGTGAGTAAAGCAGGTTAAGTCTCCGAGAAAGACTGGACCGAGAACCTTTGGCCGCAGTCCATGTACATTGCGGGTTCAAATAAACGCCACCATTTTAAACAGGAACCAAGCTGGCAAACGTGTGTTAATTTCTAGACGGAATCAAAACACCTTTCTGATTAATTAACTGCGTTTTTAGGATTTTAAACACTCGATCAATTTATCAGAAGACATGTCAATTTCAAAAAGGCTAGCATTCGCCATTATTGAGCACCTTTCGTCGGAGTTGAACTCTGGTGCCATAATTGGAGACTCAGCGGAGAGCTTAGAAGGTAAGTGCTAAAATGTAACAACTTACAGAAATTCGAGGAAAACTTTTCTTTTTTTTATAGATGAATTTTCAAATATGTTAATTTCTATACTTTGTGAAGCATGTTAGGGAAACAATGTGTGGAAGACGAAGTCGCACATGTAACTTAAACTTTAATTTCGCGTTCTCCCAGTCAAATTGACACTGCCGTTTCTTCTAATTTCAAGGAAAACATAATTAAAAAGTAATTTATTATTTCCTGCTAAACATTACTGATTTTCTGGTTATTTTTCTTTCTTACGTTTGCGTCTGATATTTTTTCTTGCCCCAATATTTGCGTATACCATCATGCGTCCCTCTCACTCAGAGGATGAGGGGGGGAGGGAAGGGAAGGATGACTCATTTTGAGTAGGGATGAGTGGATGGACGCACAGTATATGAAAGCAAATTTTGATTTCCATCACTATTTAGATAATCTGAAGAAGCAGATTCCCTGGATCTATGTTTTGATGTCTTCTGAAATCTATTTCTGAACACACCCACAGTAACATGCAATCTATTTGTTCAAAGTGATTACAAAGCAAAAAAAAATTGTTATTAGTTATGTCAGCCATGTACCTGTCCTCCAATGAATTATAATAAAAAAACTAATAAAAATGATGTGCGATGCACATTATTATATAAATGTTATTACTGTTTGGGTTTGAATTTTTTTTCCTCCTAGTTTCAATCCAATGTTTAGAAGCCGTTTATGACATAAACAGAAATGATACATCACAAGCAGCAACATTAAAGAGCGACAAACCTCTAGCAGAAATATTCCAAACTGCAACTCAGGTCTGTAATCAGTTCTTTCAATGGACCTTCTGCTAAACAATCATTCTTTATATCACAGTAGATCTCTATATGTCTTGGTTTAGTTGTTTCAGCGCCAGTAAAAAAAAACAGAACCATCTAAAAAATAACAAACTTAGATATGACCCTAGTGATATCCATTCTAGTACCTTCTTAATATATATAATTTATGTAATATTCCATTAATAGTTCATTTGACCTTAAAAGAGTTATAGCACTTACAAAATATGCCACAGTATTAACTGTGAAACAAGGAAAAAATACACACAGAAATGGACTGCATGATCTTTGATTCTTTTCTGTTTTTTCGGCATGATTTTTTCGGCAACAAACGTCAAAGCCCATGAGAATTTTTTGTCGGTCAACAAGAACTCTCAAATGGTTTCTTTTTTGTAGTTTTCTTCTTTCATGCCACTATTTGTGTGATCAGTTCATTGCTCAGATAAGGCCATATGAACTTGAAAACTGGGAGCCAAAAGACTTGAAAATTAAATGATGGTGGAATAGTAAATCCCTTTTTCAATGGTTTGACATATGATTCAGGCAGACATTAATTTTAACTCATTGCTTGTCCCTTTCAGGATCAGAATAGTACCTTGTAACTCACAAAATATCTGCACATAATTATTATAGATTAAACCACTGAAAATGGTATATGTAATTGTCAGTTCTAAAAACTCATTCCTGACCTTTAACTCCCAAGAGTGATTAACATGTAACGTCTCCCTGTAATATCCATACATTATCCAAAGAATACTTGAACCTATCATATACAAGTTGTTATCTCAATTGAACACCCAATTCTCATAACTAATGTACAAGGAAATGTTAAGCAACTAGAGAGGAGAATTAACAAGCAGGTCTCAGGAGTAAAATGGTTTAGAAAAGTTTCAAGGGGGTAAGTTTCTAAAGAAACTGTGGTTAAAAAAGACTTGAACAAAAGTTTGTTTCACATCAGCACTCTTAATCCCATAGGTATGAACAAATGCTTTTCATTCTACTAATTTACTTTTGTTTTTCTGGTCACCATGTTCCCACAAAGAGGGGTTGCTCCACTTTCTGCATATAAACACACACACAACCTACCTTTCCTCCATTTACTCTGACAAAGGGCTAACGCTGAAAATGTTAGCTTTTTAACTCTTTAGGATGGCTAATTTACAATTTCAACTTAACTGATAAAACCAAATTAAGAAAAGTTTAGTTTGGTTTTCCTAAGAGATTATGTTAGCAAGATGTACTCCAATCGGAGTGGAGAATACAAAGAAAAAATAATTGATTTCTTCAATAAACTTAAGTTGGTCAGTTGTTTGTTTAATTTGTTTGTTTTTATTTTATTTTTTTTTTAATTGAGGACATCAGTAACTGGAGTCAACCTTTCACAAGTTTTAAGTTAAAAAAAAAATGTATATTTTCATATCAAGGGTGGAACAACAGCTGCTCAGCCCACAGCAGAGGACAGAGGAAAAGCAGAAGATCTGAAAACTAAAGGTATGATCTATCAGAGTACAATATTTTTTAATCTTTTATATGTCAGTTCCTTTATCCATTTCATTCTCAATTTCCATTCATTCCATTCTCTATCCAAGGTTTACAAGCTTATAGGAATTTAAAGAGCATCCAAATGAGTTGTTGAGGGAATTTCAAAGTAAATGGCTCTTTTAACCAATGAATTTTCCATTTTGTTCTGCAGAAACAGAACTTTTAGCACTCTAACCCAAGTAATGATCTATTTTGAAAATATCTTAAAATCAGGAAATCAATTGATGAAAGAAGAAAAGTACCAAGAGGCTATCCAGTGTTACACCCAAGCTATTGAATTGGATAGTTCTAATGCTGTTTTTCCATGTAACAGGTATGTCTTGTATACTTGTTAACTATTTTGTAGATCTCAAAATAATGAGTGAAGATCCAGGACTACTTAAATAATTTGCAACCTACTGGCTATTTTTCAAAATTGTTTTCCTTTCTTCAATTTGATGGGCAACCCTTGAGGGGGAAGGGAGAGGGGGGTTGTGTAAAATCAAGCTTTTAAAATGATCTCATGCAATTGCCAAAGACCCTTACTGCAATTTCCAGTTTTGGCAAAGTCATAATTCACCTATACGTATAATATTTTCTCTTGCCTCAGACAAATAGGCTTAATCTTTAACAACCATAAAATACAATTTATCGATTTAGTTTGAAATCATGTAAACCTAGAATGTACTTTTAAATCAGAAATATTTTTCACTTCAAAGTTAATTGTGACAACTTTTCTTTTCTGTAGAGCTGCAGCGTACGGCAAGATTGGTGAACACCAAAAAGCAATAGAAGACTGTCAGAATGCTCTAAGTTTGGACCCAAACTATGGAAAGGCTTATGGACGAATGGGGTAAGTGAACTCTTTAGCTTCATTCCACAAGTGAGCTAGACAGAACTTCTCCTTACAATATCAAAACAATATCAGGCAGACAAGTAATGAGAATAAAGAAAAACATCAAGCAGGGGATTATTAGTTGTTCCAATACCAACTTCTTCAAACATCTTGAGAATTGCAAGCACAGACTGTAAGGAGGATTGTTAAGTGAGATTTCAGGGGTGTAAGGGTTCAATTGAATCAAGGCAAAAATGCAAGGCATCAAGGGAAAAAACTGTGTATTGATTACACAGCATGTGCGTTGAATGTAAGTTTTTATTTTAATATGGAGTTTGCAGTGCAAAAAATCTGTCAGATTTTTCCACAGTTTGGTGATATTGTTTGTACTCATGGTTGTCATTGCAGAAACTGGAAAACCTATATTACAGATTGGTCACCATTGCAGCAGAGATTACAAATTATTGATTTTGTTTAGCTTAGATCTTCTAATCAATATTGCTTTGACTCATAATTTTTATTGTAAAATATTGCAGGTTATCATACCACAATCTGAACAATTTCCAGAAAGCAAAGGAAAGCTATTCTAAGGTAAAAAATTAGTACTGTTATTAGTAGTTCTTTCCATTGGAATCATTTGGCTTCCAAGCACACTTACATTAAGTATGTAGAGAATATCAATCCTTCCCTGCACTGTGGTTTTGAACTTTTAAACCATATCGTCATATTTTCATTTACATGCATACACAGAACTGATGGGAAAGTTATAGAATTTTTTTGTGAAGTTTTATCATAAATCTCCAAAATTAATTAATATCTTTCAATTCCTAATCATTTATAAGACTTCTAGATAAGTTTGAATTGTGTTTTTGGAAAGTTAGTTGAGTAACACAAAAGTTTTTTTGTTAAAGGCATTAGAATTAGAACCTGGCAGTACATTTTACCAAACCAGTTTAGCACAGGTGGAGGAAAAATTAAAAGAATCTCAGGGAGAAATTGGTATTGCAAGACCTGCTCCTGGAGGTAGGAGTGACATTCACTGCGCATGAAAACTGATTTATCACTATTGCTGCTGGCTTCATGAGACAGTGACACTTGAGAAATGATTGCCGCTGTTCACAATAAGTAGTAAATACTAAGTTGTAACCAAAATTCAGTGAGACTCTTGGGAGCAAAAAGGAAGTTTCTTACCCAAATTGTTCTTAACTTACCCATTGCCCACACCTTCAGTCTATTCCTGGTACATTACAGTTTCAGGGCTCGACACTAATGGTAGCCAACTAGCCAGTACAGACTAGTAGAAATTCAGTTTTGGCTGGTGCTTTTTTATTTCCACTAGCCAGTTTGGCTAGTAACCAAACTGGAATTGTAGTTGTAACATCTAAGTTGTCACTAGACACAAGGCTGGTAAGTTGAAAAGTTAGTGTCAAGCCCCAATTTTGCTGAACTGTTTCAAAGTTTTTAACATAAGTCAACACTAATAAGGAGAATCATAGTTTAACTAAAGATTGGACATTTTTTTTACCCTTAAACTCCCTGAAGGGATCAACACATAACTTCTCCATAATGATATCCATTTATTATGCAGCAAGCAAGTTGTGAGAAAACTTAAACTTATCGCTCAGGTAGAAGTTGTTTTCTTGACCCAACATCAAATTCCCCTAACTAATTTACAAGGAAATGTGTAGCAGCTAGAGAGGAGAATTCATAATCAGATCTTGGGGATTAAAGGGTTCATTGCTTCTTTTTCAGGTATTCCTGGTTTAGGAGGATTTGATTTGGGTTCCCTGTTAACAAATCCTGCTATTATGAATATGGTATGTCAGCTTTCTTAGATCAAGCAGACTCCTCTGTCAATTTGTTAATTCTGTTATTAATTTATCAATGATTCTGATAAATTTAAATGCAGTGTAATGGAGTTAACAACAAAGAGTATCAGAATTCTCTAATAGTCAGTGGTTTTGTTGCATATGGGTATGCATTTGTTGCATATGAGTATGCATTTGTTGCATATGGGTATGCATTTGTTGCATATGGGTATGCATCGGAATGTCATGTGCTCTTCATTTGAGGCATTCTTGTGTGTGCTTTGAGCATGTACTTGCTGCATTTCCAGGCAGTTTCCCCCCCTCATTCCCTTCCTTTTTCCGTTATTTAGTAAGTGTGATGAGTGCCTGTTTCTCTTTCCTGTGTGGGGGCTCATGGCTGGGTTGCCAGGATTTGTCAGCCATGGGAGAAGTCTCCATCTAGGAGCTGGCTTCCAATAGTGGAAGCTCCTGGATGTTTCAGGCACTCAACCTCCACTTACCAATGCAGTTATTAAAGCCTCACAAAAAGCTAAATGCCTGATACTTTTGTTGCTGTAAAACTGTTTAAATAATTGTCTGATATGACTGTTTATGGGATAAGCTGAATGATATACCATTTTGATTGGTTCTTACTCGTGATCAGCTGGAGAACAGATGCATGGACAGTGTTACTATCACCAACCTTTAGCTCTTTGTTCGCATGAAACAAATAGATTCCATGTTACCACAAGTCTGTACACCATAATAGATCACTGAAAACCTCAAAAGGTGGCTCTAGATTGTGTGCCACTTTTGTTCTTACCACATTTTGACATCATCTGGCAACTATTACTAAACAGACCCACGGCAAAATGGAATCTATTCATTCAATAATTAATAATAATAATAATTGTGAGTCAGACTGATTGTGAATATGATGGTGAAGCTTGCGATGGTGATGATGACAACTGTTATTTTCAGGCCCAAACTTTTATGAGCAATCCAGGAGTTCAGCAAATGTAAGTAGAAAATGAAATACAGGGATTTTTTAGAAGCTAGCAACCAGAGAATTCCAGCATCTTCTCTTCACAATGGCTACTATGGCCATTTCACCTCCCACTTTTTTTTTTTTTTTTAATGAAAACATACAGTAAATTCTAAATGCAGCCATCAATAAAGGTGGTTTTTTTGATATTTTGTCTCCTTTTTTGTTGTCCAGTGATTTTTGTACTAATGAGTTCTAACAATTAAATCAACAACACGATTAGTTGGCTGCACATCATGTTCAGTGGTCAGAAGAGAAAGCCTGGTGACAAATCTGCCTTGATTACTGCTGAGCTCTCGTCTGCCTACTTATGTCCTAATATACACCTATTTCCAAAGTCAACGAAATCCTTGGAAATATGTACTCTCACTTGAGGAATGTCAAGTTGTTGCTACTGGTGTCATTCATCTAATAATAAAGATTTAAGTTTTCATAAAAAATAACTGTTACTTTCTATTTGATTAGGATGACAAATATGATGCAAGGTGCTGGGGGTGGGGGTGCAGCTGGTATTTTTCAGGCGTAAGTTTTCATGTGTATCTGAGCAATCTTGTCAGATGATAATGATTACTGTTATTATGAACAATTATCAATTATTTACCAGAGTGGGGTTAAATAGTGGTGGATATTTACCAAGTGGTAAAGCGGCAAAGTGAATATCTGCCAAGCTGCTTAGAGGTGAACAGTACTTGCTATTCACTTCAAAATTAGGCAATTAGCATGTAAGATAAATATCTACCACTTTCAGGCAAAATGAAATCTATTCATTCAATCATTAATTATTTTACTTTTGACTGGAATGTTTATTCTTTCTTAGGAACATTTGAATGTAAAAACAAAATTGGCCATTTTATGACTATGTTTTTCCTTTAACTCCCCTGAATGACCAAGAGAGAATTTCTCCTAAAATGTCAATACAATATCAAACAGACAAGTGAGAAGAGTAAAGAAAAATGTCATTTAGGGGATTATTAGATGATCCAATACCAAATTCTTAGAACAAACTTCATAAGAATTGTATGGTAGACAGTTAGGAGAATTACTAATGAAATCTTGAGATTGAAAGTATTAAGGGGAAAGAGTGTTTTCTTCGCCCAACAGTGCCCAACAGTTCGGTGAACGGATGCAAGAATCTGACCCAGAGTTGTTTGAACAGTTAAGGGGACAGGCTCAAGATGCTGTCAATCAACATAGGGGACAGAATCCATCAAGTGATGGACAAGATCCAAATCCAGGTTAGAATATAACCTTCTCTTCTTTTTGTCCATTAGTATGATATTCAGTTTTCATTAATTTATTTCATCGATCTTAATTCTATTCTTTTAATGTATCTAGGTCTTGTACTTTGAATATTTTACAATTATTGTTGTAATCAACTTATTTTTATGTGGAGGTCCCTCATGAAAACCACCTGAGGGTGATGTAGTTTCCTCCTTAAATAAAGTTTCACTTCAATATAGAAAAAACCAGGAAAGATTTATTACTCGACGTTTCGGGGTCATCATGACTCCATTATCAAGAGACTAGTTTAAAAACATGCAAATAAGGAAAGGTACAAGAATAGCATAAATTAGACTGAACGGCTTAAACAAACACCTTGGCGCGGATGGAATCCGTTTGCACGTTCAGTGTTGGCTTACGCATGCGAATATACAACATTTCATTAACAAGGCAATCAAATTTGCCGTTACATTTCGTGATGACGTTGAATTGCTCGATCAAGCGTTCAGGCATTTCACTATTGTGCTGGAGGTGGTAGTGTTTGTAGATAGAAGATGATTTCCTTTTGTGCCCTTCTACGCGCTCGTGTAAGTGACCACGAGTATAGCCCACATACCCTGCATCACACAGGTTACATTTAAATTCATAAACGATACATTGTTGGTTAACAATAGGGGGCTTAATTTCGTGTTGCTTAAGCTGTTGATCGAGCTTAGGGCTAACGAACACTGNTTTCCTTATTTGCATGTTTTTAAACTAGTCTCTTGATAATGGAGTCATGATGACCCCGAAACGTCGAGTAATAAATCTTTCCTGGTTTTTTCTATGCCTTTGCTTTAGCAAATCCCTGCTGATCAAGCACTTCAATATAGTGCTACAAATTGCCATTAATTTATGGAATTATTAACAAGGGAACTCTAATGCATAGAAAGTCGTTAAACATTTCATGTTTTACTTACAATCAATTAGAACTGAAGTGGTGTAGAGCAAAGAAGTAATTTTAATTATTTGCAAACTAATGGGTTTCTATTATCTCAATTTAAAAAAAAAAAAAAACATCTTTCATACTTTTCTTGAGCATAACTTCAATTTGAAGCAACTGAAACTGAACTGTTTGTTTGAGAATACTTGCATGAGAAAGTCTGGCAATTTGATTCCATTGCTCTGGCAAACGTTTTTAGACCCGAAATTGAAATTGATGTTATTAGTTATTAATAAGTTACTAGTTATTTGTTCGCTCTAACTTGGATTAAGGCATTTTGCAGGAAACAGTAACCGTGCCAGTAATTTTTTTTTTTTTTTCCCTGCAGATGAAGGTGACTCTAGCACACAATAAATGATTACTGGATATGCAAATTGCTAAGGAAAAGCTCAAAAATAATTTTCATGACATCCATGGATAAGTGTACAAGGGGAACTATGACTTCTAGAAACAGAAAAAATAATTAGACCGCTACCAATTAGTCAAGTAATTCGTTTAGCAACCTGAGGCATGTACTGGTATTATTCAGTTTTTTTTTTTTTTTTAATTACGAGTGTCTATGAATAATATTCTGACGTTGCACAGAAGTTAAAGTAAATTATTAACTTTTTACTAATTTTCACTACTGATCGCAAATGATGTGATAATATTGATTTGTTACCTAAAAAACTATCCAAAGTGAACCTCATATGCCAGGGTAAAGGTAATATGTGTTTTTATAGAAGTAAGAAATGTGGGTCACTTAGTATTTTTAGATTTGGTTTCCCTGAGAAAGCGTGACCTTTGGATAGTCTGCCTACTCCCATGAGTGTAGCTTTTTCGCTGGGCTCTTGTAAGGTTACTTTCTGATAAAATCGTGAACTTTTTCCCTAACTTAACCGTGTATTAAATTAAAAACACATACATGAGAAGTCTGTTATTTAAATTTTATTGCAGTCTTTGTGTTTAATTTTTCTATTTGGAAATCTGTAAGGCAACACCTTGTAATGCTTATAGTGACATGTCAAATTTCTGGATGATTATTCTATCTTTGAGATAAGTCCGTCAACTACCCTACAACCTCAGAGATTGTGTGACACATCCTTTTATTGTTGGACAATTATGTACAGTAAGTCACAAATCTGTTGCAAATCCTTTATTGTTATGCTTTAGCAAAGGAATAGTTTGATTTCTCATACGTTCCAGTAATCAGAGTGTTGAATATCCTATGGCCAGTCAATTAAAAGAACATTAATTTAGATGTAATACTTTTTAAGTCTGCTGTGGCTAGGTCTTGATTGACACCGAATCCGGTTTGATATAATGTTTATTTTTTTTCCGTTGGGTTGTTCTTGAAAATAGTTGTGTCTAAGTGACTTAGAAAGGTGATGAGTCATTCAAAAGCACTACCTAGTGGGGAGGGGAGGAAGGTAATCTGGTAGAAATTTTACTTCCGGTTTTGTACTCAACAAATTATTGGGCTCAGCCAGTACAAAGGCCATCCCACCGTGTCAGGCCATATAGTGTTAAATATTAAATTACCCGTTTCCAATTTTATGAACCCTTACATTTGAATACCGTGACAGTTGTCTGCGGTCATGGGATTTCTGTGGTCCTTAGTGGCTATTTCTGCTGGGTATTTTCTCGGTGAAATCGTTCGGCTTGCCCTCCGACGAATCCTTCCCAGAGTGTACTACCCATACGCTAACGAACTGATCTCCACCTTCCAGTTGTCAGTTTGTGTTTTCGAGATTTCCGTAATCGGAAGATTCTATAATTCTTGGATTGCGCTGTTGTGTTCTTTTGTTCTGCTTACTGTAAAAAATGTTGGATTCATTTTCGAAGGAGCTTTCGCGAATCCTTGCGGGCTTTTAGAGGACCTTGTTTACGAGAAGGGATACTGGCTATCGGATAACATAGCGAAAATCTTCTTCCAAGTTTTAGGCGCGCTTTTAAGCTTTCCGTTCATTCAGATGCTATGGCTGTCGACATGGAGTGAACTACATTATCAGCAAATAAAGAGAGGCCTTCGATCTACTCTCGATGTTTCCCTGTTGTATGGATTTTCGATCGAGATCTTGGCCACTTTCGTGTCCACCGCGAGCGACTTCTTGTCACGTGGCACACTAAGAAGGTTTAACCCAGTGATTCGATCCGCGATCTGCGTCCTTCTTAGCTTCTTTCTTTCCGAAACTACTGGAACGTGGATGAACCCTGCCTTGGCTACGGCGCAAACGTTCGTGTATTGCTCAAGGAACGAAGTTATTACTGAGCATCTGTTCGTGTTTTGGCTAGGACCGATTATCGGAACACTAGCGGCTATTGAAATGAACACTTTATTTCTGAAGCCTTCGGTGATTACCCAAGGAAGAGAGAAGAACTTAGCAAAGAAGATCAAGCAATCTTCAGCTAAGAATCATCGGGATGGAGCCGTAAATTCTAACAGAAATCAAAAGGAAAGATTTGCAAAAAACGCTTAACGTTATTTATACTGACAAACTCTGAACTCGTGTACCACACACACTGTAACCAGATTTTAAGTGCTCTTCTTCGAGGTCAATATTTTACCGAGTCATTCTAACTCGATTTTATTTCGGGATTTTCTCTATTTTTAAAAAATTCTTATGGGGTTTTTTAAACGTTATTTACCTTGGCCAAAGGAAGATTATAAGCGCAGATAAACGTGTTTTCCATGTGATTCCGTGACATTTGATTTGCATAACAATATAACTCTGTCCTTTGCCCTGGGGCACATCGATCGTAAGAGGTTCGTTTCAGAACAACATAAAAAAATATCATTAAAAAATTGGCATAAAATGGATCGAAGTCATCTTGTGGCATTTACAAGCTTTTAGTCCAAATGTATTTACGAGGTTCTCGTGTGAACAAAACATTGATTAAATATTCATTTGAGTGCAATGTAATGTGGACAGATATCGTGTGAAAAGCAGATCTGCTTTCATTTATCATGTTTATGAATTAAAATATATTTCAAATTCAGGACTATACTTTTGAAAGGAATGTTTCGCCATGACTCAAGCCACAGTCAATTCATTGTGTTGTATCTACTTTATTATCGTTCTTGTATCTGTTACAGAAGAATTTCTTTATTAGTCCAAATTACATCAATATTTTAATGAAATCCTTTGAGCCTCGCGAGTTGCTAAAGCAGTCCTTCCCAGAGAATCTTTGGGGATAAAAAGACAAACCAAGAATCAGGAAAATTTCATGATAGTGTAGCAACAACAATTTTTTTTATTGCTGTTTACTGGGATAGGCTCTGGAGAATTGTTATCTACTGATCTCCCCAAAGGACGTTGTAATGTCGTTAATCCGTTTAGTTTTAGTTTATTGAGATTTGCCACTGAAAAACACAATTTACAAGTAATTACATGAACAGAGACACGCAATAAATAAACAAAAATATAATGGCAGGAGAAAAATACAGGGCGAGCCCCAATTGACATTTGTCCCCTTACAAAATACAAAGAATAGAAAAATATAGGTTACATACGCATTTATGTACTTTGTCTATAGAATAAAATAATTTGCCGACCGACTGCGACACTTAGTTAGGGCGGAGTATAGAGCGTGAGCTTTTCTGTATAAAACCGCTTAACTAAGGCCTTAAAGTTATGTAAAGAGCTCGCTTGCTTAATGTTGCTCGGTAAATCGTTCCATAATTTAATTGTGCGAGGAAAGAAAGTTTGTAAAGTACCGCTGAGTATCAGTAAATGAAGGCGGATGTTTGCAGAATGATGACATCGGGTTGCGTATGTTTTTTATGTTTAAGGCGGACGGTCAGGCTCCCGTGAGGGCGGTGCAATGCCTGCCGACCTACATGTCCACTCCCTACCCATGGCTGAGGTGCAAGGCCTTAGGGCGGGGTCCGCCAGAAACGAGGGGCACCAGCCGCCAACTTCGCTGGGGAATCGAATGTGTATGTATGGTTAGCAGGAAGCAGAGATGGTCAAAGCTAGCGTTGATAAGACCTGACCTAATTTTGTATAAAATGACAAGATCATGGACTTCTCTTCTGAATTCAAGCGGCAGTAGGCTAAGAGTTTTCAGTCTCGCAGTGTAGCTGGTTTTCCTATCTGGGTAGTTTAGTATAAATTTAGTAGCCCGTCGTTGTATATTTTCGATTAGCCCACGATGCTTTGCTGTGTAAGGAGACCATGCAGAGGATACGTACTCGACGATTGGGCGAACTAACGCAGTGTGTATCATTTTCTTAGTTGATACGTTAACAATGTCTCTACCGCATACACGCTTTACAAGACCAAGAACTTTGTTATACTTGGCACATATCTCTTCGATGTGCGTCTTCCATGATAGTGGAGTAGTGACAGTCACGCCTAAACCCTTGGTGTCGGGAGGCGAGTCCAAGGTCTGGCCGTCTAAATGGTATGTATGCTTCTCTCTTTGGCGCGAGGTTCTCTTTGACATGTGTGGAACTTTACATTTGTTTGTGCTGAAAGACATACCGTTGTTGTCACACCAAGTTTTGGAGTTGTCCAAGTCAGCTTGCAGCAGGGAGGCACATCTATCGGAAACAATAGAGCGATATAGCTTGCTATCGTCCGCAAAGAGGCCAAGTTTACTTCCGTGGGTAATGGAGCACGACATGTCATTAATGAAGACCAGAAATAAAAGCGGACCCAGGATGGAGCCCTGAGGTACTCCTGATGGGACTGGGAACCAGTCTGAGGATATGCCGTCAACAACAACTCGTTGGTATCTGTCAGAGAGATAGCTTGAGAACCACAACAAAACTGGACCGGATATACCAAGGAGCTGAAGCTTCGAGAGGAGTAGCCTGTGTGCAACCTTATCAAATGCCTTTGACAGGTCAAGATGGATTACGTCAACTTCTTGGCCATTGGTTAGTTTGTCTAAAATATCGTGATACACCTCAAGTAGTTGCGTTTCTGTGGATTTTCCTGGCTGGAAGCCATGCTGGAGTTGCTGAAGAAAAGACGATTAATGAGGGTAGCTGTGATTAAACACGCATCGTTCCATAACTTTGGAGACAATGCATAATAGAGAAATTGGCCTGCAGTTCTCCGCTAAGGGTAGGATCGCCCTTTTTAAAGACGGGTGCAATGTTCGCGCGCTTCCAATTTGCTGGAAAAGAGCCCGTAGACAGCGACATGTTAAAGAGCCTGCATAATGAAGGGGCAATTTCAGCAGTTTCATCCGTTCATTTATTTTGAGGAATTAAATGCTTGTAGAGCCCCCGCACAAAACAAGGCTTAGATAGTTCTAGCAGTTCAAACCCATCCACTTCGAAAGTTCACGGGTTGCGGGATCTTTGAGAGAATTATAAGCGGGATCCGGAATAGATAAAGCCCCGTACAATATTCGCTCGATATAAACCCTTCCCTTCTAATCAGGGTATTACGGGGAAACACGCCCCGTCCACGCATTGCGTTTCTGTTAACGCTAGCTAGTGCAAACGGAGTCTTTGGAAAACATGAATAAAGGAGGTCAGCTTTTAAAGAAACTGTGATGCTGCGTCAGTGGAGGAGCATTACAAGATGATTTGTTTTTACCAGCCGAGTTGATACCACCGTAAAGAGTTCTTTAAAGCTAACTGTTCGTGTGCAAGCCTTTTGTCTAACGAATGCCGGGGGGAATTGTGGGTTCGGTGTGTGTGCCTACATGCAGATGTTGGTGGTAACATGTTAACGAGAAAACCAAGAATATATTACTTGAATTAAAAGCGTTCGATTAACAGTGCCAAATTGAAAGATGAGTTTTGGTGCTAGAGATTCGCGGCTTTTCGAACTGCCTAGATGTAAGGAAAGGTAGCAGACTGCCATATACCGGCCTAAACAGCCTCCCGGTTAGCACAATTGGTTAGAGCGCCGGATTGTGTTGTGCGGGATGTCGAGGGTTCGAACCCCGGCCGGACCAATACTCGTGGTCTTAAAATAAGTGAGGAGAATTTGCTACCTTTCTATCATCAAGAAATAGATAGATATTCCAGTCTTCTCGGATAAGGACGAATAAACCGTAGGCCCCGTCTCCTGCAGGGTTAGGGGTAGGAGACGTTAATTTCCCATGCACGAGATTACTGTGTGGTGGATGTCCTCCCCTGTGTGGGATGGGTGGGTGTTGGCCCTGAAAAGCCCCTATGGGGAGTGGTCAATTAACCTATGTATGTATATACTGCTTAGATGATCAGGGGGATTAAAGTGTCTAGCCACGTCCAGTAGCTAGACACTTAAATCTCGCTATTGCTACCAATGATTACTGTGGTAGAGGCTTTACACCCTGACATCAGTATCCCCATTACTCTTCTCCATACATTTTATTTAAGCTGAGGGTCCTAATGTGGAGTTATCTTTTTCTGACAACAATTAACATTTTAGTCATTTTGCGGATGGCGGTTAATTTCTTTCCTATGTGGTTAAAAGGAAAAAGTTAGCGATTAACTTTATTTATTGACAACTAACAGTTAAAGTTTGTCAGTTTTTACGCCCAAGGCTACATTTTTAGGCCGTTTAACGGCTGGCAGTGAACCCCATTGAGACCCTCTTGGTACTAGCCTCCTACGCAGACGTTCTTTGAGCTCGTCACGCAAACTTCCTCTCCCACGAATGTGGGGGAGAAAGATTCCGTGACGTAGGAGGCTATACGTGTGATGCACGATCCTCGCAGTAGATAGCGCTATTTATGCAATAGCGAAAATACCGCTGTTCAAAATATATGAACTTCATATATTCATTGTATCTGGTAGGAGGCTATCTTGGTACCGACAAGCGGAATTCGTTAACATTTTAACTCCCATGAGTGACCAAGAGAGAGTTTCTCCTTACAATTCCAACACAAAATCAAACAGCGTGACGAGAAGAAATAAAAATAATAATAATTAATTAGGAGATTATCAGTTGATCCAAAGTCAAATTCTCGAAACTTTCATCATAAGAACTGTATGGTAGATCGTGAGAATGGAGAATTAGTAATAAGATCTTGGGAGTGAGAAAAACAAAACAAAGAAAACAAAGCTTCTAAGGTTGGTTATTTATTTTATTACTTTATTTTAATAGCTTCGTCGACAGGCAGGGACTCCGCAACAGCTTACGCCAATTACTGCGGGCCCGGAACAGTAAACAGGCCAGACCACATCACAGTAATCTCGTGAGTGGGTTCTTTAACATCCCCTGCCTAACCAAATTAACTAATTTATCAATCAACTT